CTTCTCATCCTGAGTCGTTTTTTGACGGTCCCGAGGCCCAGTACAGTGGAGACTCATGCCAAGAAACACCCCGCTTGCCTCCAGGGTGCCATGAGTTTCTTCGGGTTCGATAGTTCTGCTATGTAAAGCGTGACGCTCCCACACCATGAATCGATGGACGTCCTGGGGTCTCAGGGCTGGGATTATTGTGGAAGGCTTCTTGTGGACTGGGATCCACTGTACAGTGCCGTTTTTTATACATGCTCCGCGTGCGGACCATGTATTAAAAAATGCAGGGATTTAGTACTAAAGACAACGATGAGTTCATGCATACATTTAATCATAGATTACTCATGCCTTAAAAATCCTATGTTTTTGAACATCCTGTGTGTTAGAAACTGCCCTGTAAGTGCCCCCAGAGGCCGAAAAAATAGAGAAGAGCCTTCCGTCGCGAGTTCTGTCGGCCCTCGGCGGGGTCTGCGGCCCTGGGTGGCAGGAGGTCCCGCGGACGGCATCTGTGTACACCACAGCACCGTGCCTGGCCAGGGCCAGCCTGGGCCCCACTGTTCGGAGGTTGATAAGCCTCCTGTCAGGAGGGGACAAAAACGCACAGACACAATTAATCGTCGATTCCCCCGAAGATAGAGGGAAATATGGGAAGTGTGGGGGAAGACAGAAACCCCGAAAATATGAGAAAATATGGGGGATAGGTTTATTTGTGTGTATTTATTTGTGTGTCCCAGGGCCCCTTCATCCTACCCTGACACGTCGATGAGCGAATTTGCCGGTCTCGGTTCGCGGGAGGGCGTCGGGCCATTTTTGCGGGTCCAGGTCTGTCGGTTTCGGTCCCAGGCCGTTGTCATTGAAGGGTGGTAACCTACAGAGAGGTTTGTCCACCGCCGAACTGCAGTGTATACGCCCTCCTGGCATCGGCCAGTCGGGTGTACACACCATGCCAGGGCCCAGGCTGCCCCTTGCCAGCCACGGTGGTGGTGCATGGATTAGGGGAACGAAAAATGGCATGAACATAACAACTGGGAGGTCCGCGCGGACTTCTTGGATCCGCGCTGGACCCCCCGCGCCAGAGGCGGCGCCGAAGGCGCCGCCAGGGGCCCCCAGCGCCGATCCGAGAAATCCGCGCGGACCTCCGAGTTTATGCTCATGTCATTGTCCGTTCCCCTAAGGGCTGGCCCTGGCCAGCCACGGTGGTGGTGCGCAGATGCATTCTGCGCAGAAGTTCCTCGCGCAGCGGGACCTTTTTCCCGGGACCGGTTTCTCATCCTGAGTCGTTTTTGGACGGTCCCGAGGCCCGGGAAGGGACCCTGGAGGCCGAAGATCGTGAAAAACCTTCCGTCGTGATTTCTTCGCAGCGCGAGAGGCTCTGGCAAATGCTCTCTGCGCAGGAGTTCCTCACGCAGCACGCCACGCAGGGGCTGGGCGAGGACGAGGAGGCCCCTCGCGGCTGGGTGCCCGTGGGTGGCCGGCGCGGGCGGGGCACGCGGATAGACCCGAGCCCCTTGCAGACGGGGCGTCGGCGAACGGGGCGGCAGCTAAGGGGCCTCTTGCAGCATCGGTCAACCGACCCCCACCCCCCTGGCCCATCCCCATCCTGTAAATGTGTTCCTCTCCGCACCACCATCGCGCCGCCTCTGCTGCTACTCCTTATGCACGGGCTGGTCATCTGCAGCCACCCAGACTCGAGAGGTATAGGAAGCAGGAGCGAGCTAGCGCGCGCGCACGCCGAGGGTCGTCCCCTCGTCGTCGTCGTGTAGTCGGCCGGCCCGCCCCCTCCCTACCACACATTTCTCTGATCCGCCTAACGGAATCTACCTTCCAAGCCATGGCCTTGTCGAAGCCCCCATGAGCATTCCTCACGAAACTCATCTTGTCAGTATCGTTCAACCGACCCCCATCCCCATGGCCCATCCCCATCCGGACCCCCACCATCTCGCCCCCCCAGCTGGGGATATAGACCCTTCAAAGTCTGACAGAAGCTGCCTACATCCCCATCGGGGGGGTCAACCGGCCAGTGGGGCCCAGGCCACGCGAGTGGGGATAGGGATCGGTCAAAAGATGCTCACCCTTCAAGCGAGAACAGGGCGACAGCGCATTCACCTCGCACGAAATCGTGATAAACCGGGGCGACAAAAGCGTCGACACATCATCACAACTCTGGGCGGGCGGGGGCGGTCCTCGCCTTTGTGCGCGGCAAATCAGTTGTTCGCTTGAAAACACAATTGAAAATATACCTTTTTAACTACCGGCCCGTAAACCAACGCCCCGTTTGCAAGGGCTTGGATAGACCAGATGCGCGAGCTGTTCGACCAGCTGGACCAGGCGTTGCTGCGGCGGCGCGCCCTCGCAGGCGGAGGTTCCGAGGAGGAACACCTGGAGATCCTGATGTTTCAATTATTGCAGGCTGGGCGTTGTCGTTCTTTTCGGGCGCCCCTACCCTCGCAGATCGATCCGCCTCGAAAAACGGCGCGGAAAAATGGGGTCGGGCCCCAGGCGTGATATTTTGCGATGTTGCAATGTTTTCGCTTCGTCGGATCTCAGGCTACACGCATTCATTTTTATACCCCTGGGTAGGTGTATGTGTGGCCGGTTGGGCGCTGGCATGTGCGTGCAAGTGTTTTGCGTGTTCCAAGTATGTGCCCGGCATGTGCGGGCCTGCGCGCCCGGGCGTGTGCAAGGCCGTGTGCGCTGTGTATGCCCGCACATGCCGGCGCACATGCCCGCACACGCTGGTATTGCTACCCTTCCCGCGCTTTCCCATTTTCGGGCCCCCTGGGAAGCCCTCGTCGCCACCGCCGGATTCGCTTCGAAATTTTGGTCAGAACGCACCCAGGAAGATGTTCAGGAAGTAGTGGTATCGGTACCTTGTGGTTTCTCCAGAGGCGCCCCCACGGATGCAGGAGTTTCGCACGGTGGGATTGCTGACGATCCCATTGAGAGCGCTGACGGTCCCGCAGAGCCGGAGTGGGCTTCGCAGTGGGAGAGCAGGGTGCCCGTAGACGTCGATAGCGCTGCCTGCAGGAGCGAGCACCAGTTCGGGCCCGTGACAGTGATGTTCCCGTTCGAGCACGCGTTCCAGCCCCAACAGGAGGTGATGCAGGGCGTCGTGCGGGCGGTGTTGCAGTCTCGCCACATAGTCATCGAGTCCCCCACCGGCACAGGCAAGACAGTGTCCCTCCTCTGCGCTGTGCTCGCCGCTCAGCGGCACCTCTGCGAGCGGCACGGGCGTGCGCCTCGCATCGTGTACTGCACGCGCACGCACACGCAGATCAAGCAGGTCGTGCGGGAGGCGCGGCGGTGCCCGTACAGGCCTTGGCTCCAGGTCGTCGGGAGCCGTGAGCAGGGGCTCTGCAGCGAGCCCAGCGTGCTGTCACAGGCGCGGCTCCTGGAGCGGAAGTCCTCGCAGGTGTGCAAGCTGGCGCGGGGCAGGGCCGACCGCCCAGAGGAGCACGACTCGCAGAGCGACGTCTCCGCGTGCCGCGTCTGGCCAACCGCCGGTGACGCTGGCGCGGTAGAGCGCGCCCACGGCGCGATGCGCGCGGGGGGCGGGTCCGACGCGCAGCCTGTCGGCAGCCACGGGATGCTCGACATCGAGGACCTGGCGGCCCTCGGGCGCGATCTGGGGACGTGCCCCTTCTTCCTGTCCCGGGCGGCGCTGCCCGCAGCCGAGCTCGTGGTGTGCCCGTACAACTACGTGCTCGACCCTGAGGTGGGCAAGAGGCTGGGCGTCCTGGACGGCAAGAGCATCGTCGTCATCGACGAGGGCCACAATCTCGAGGCCCAGTGCTGCGATGCAGGCACGGTGAGTATGCTCAGGGGAACCTTGATGGACATCAACATGCAGGTCGAGGAGACCAGGCAGTATTTCCACAACCCCGCTGCAGCCGACATGGTGTCTGACACCATCCGCGCTATCGTCGACTTCTGTTCCCTGAAGATGAATGAGAAGCTGCGCGAGATTCGCCGGGACCCTTCGGCTCCTGTCCAGGAGGACAGGCTGTCTTGTGCGACGTGGAGCACCACGGTCGAGACGGGTCCCAATGTCGCTGACTTCCTATCTGCATGCCGCGTGCCAGAGGAGCTTCTGTCCACGATCGGCACCCTCGAGGAGGTGGTCGAGGCACAAGCCTCGTCTGGTGGCCGCATGGTGGGCCTTTCCATACACGTGGGCCAGGCCCTCGGCAACCTACGGCGGCTCGCGGAGGCCCTGGACAGCTGCCGAAGGCGGCCCAGCCAGTTCAAGATCCACCTGGAGCTGCTTGCGCCCGACCAGGCAACGCCAGGCACCCCGCGCCGCCGATCGCGCGTCAGCGGAGCGGGCGAGCTCTCCCCTCGGGGGTCGCCGGGAGGGCCGGCGGGCGGGTCGCCCGCGCAGCAGCAGGGCGGCGGCGGCCCGGAGCCCGCAGCGCCGCGCCAGGGCGGTCGCGGGGCCCAGGGCGCCACGGGCTGGACCTTCGAGCTGAGCGTGGTGATGGTGACCCCGGAGGCCTAGCTGCCTCGATGCGCCTGTTTCACACGCACCGTGCTCAAGACGTCCGTGCCAATACGTCATACGCTGCGCGCTGGCTCCACGTATTGGCCCAGGTTCTGGCGCCTACGTTTTCAGGCTACGTGTTTCCGTATCAAAACGTGGTGCGTGTTGGGTATCGAGGCAGCTAAGCCCAGAGGCGGTCATGGAGCCCCTGGTGGAGGCTCGGTGTCATCCCAACACACTAATGCTGGGTGTGCGTCGCCCCCCCAGGGGCGACGCGCGCGCCGAGAAATCTTGCAGAAAAAGCTCCGTGCCAGGCGCTTTCTGCCCATGCCGCTCGGGAAACGATGTACTACAAGATGGGAATACTATACATACGAGTCGAACGCACGCCTCCAAGGAGGACATATTGTCCCAGGCCCCTGACGTCGACCGCTTCCCCGGGACCGGCTTTTCATCCTGAGTCGTTTTTGACGGTCCCGAGGCCCGGTGAGGGCCCCCGGAGGCCGAAAACGGTGCAAAACCTCCCGTCGTGATGTTTTGCAAAGCGCGGGGGTCTGGGATACTAGCATGTCCTCGTGCGCCTCAGAGGCGGCTCACTGCGTCATCATCGCCAGCGGCACTCTCGCCCCTGCAGCCTGGTTCACCGCGGAGCTCGGCGCCGCCTTCGCGGGCCGCGCACTGGAGGGCCCACCAGTGCAGGCGGGGCACATCATCCAGTGATGGGCGTGTTTTCCGCCTCCAACACCGTAAGTTGGAGGGGGAGGAGGGTCCTCCTCCACCTCCTCCTCCTCCTCCTCCTCCTCCTCCTCCTCCTCTTCGTCCTCCTCCTCCTCCTCCTCGTCCTCCTCCTCCTTCCCCCCTCCAATGTATGGTGGTGGTGGTGGAAAACAGGCCCATCATCCAGCCCTCGCAGCTGGGGCTTGTCTTCGTGGGCCGCGCGAGCAGCGGGCGGGAGCTGAGGTGCGTCCGCGAGAGCATGACGCACAGGGCATTCGCCCAGGCGCTGGGCCAGACGCTCGTGGAGCTGATCTCGGCCATCCCGGGAGGCGTCTTGGTCTTCTTGCCTTCTCGGCAACGCGCAAGAGGGATGCTTCGCGGGAGTGACCGCTGGTGCGGGCGCACAGGGATCCCCCGAGGCACTGGCCTGTGCGCTTGCACTTGGCCTGCTGCGGCCCCCGAAAGCCGCGCACCAAAGGTCAACATTCGGGTTGCCCCAAAAGGGGGTCCAGCGCCAAGGGGTTGGCGCAATAGATTTGTGGGCTTGCACTAAATTTGGGGCGTGCAGTACATTCGGGGGCGCAAAGGTATTGCTGAATTCTCGCGAGCAATACATTACTGGCAATGCTATACAATTCTCCGGCGCAATACATTTGCAAGGCAATTGCCCCAAATCTATTGCACCACCCCCTTTCAGCTGGACCCCCTCTTGGGCCACCCGAAAACATTGCCTAGGGTCACTCCTGCGTGTAGCCGACCATCGCGGGCGATGTTGGACGCCGTCAACCGGTTCTGGAGCGATGCGCCCGCGGGGGCGGGCAGGTCTGTGTGGCAGGCCCTACAAGACTCCAAAGGCCACCTCGTCATCGAGGGCAGCGGTGCCGACGCCAGGCGCGCCCTGGACGACCACCAGAGGGCTGTGGAACGCGACGGCAGCTGCGTGTTCTTCGGCGTCTACCGCGGCCGCGCCAGCGAGGGGATCTCCCTCTCCGACGACTCGGTGCGCGGCGTGGTCTGCGTCGGCATACCGCTGGCCCCGCTGCGGCCCGAGGTGCGCCTTCGCAGGGACTACCGCAACGCGCTGGCACAGGCGGCCCCAGCGCCAGGCGCGCCGCGGGGCCCGGCCCAGGCGAGGCTCAGTGGCGACGACTGGTACCAGCTCCAGGCGCACCGCGCGGTGAACCAGGCGCTGGGGCGGGTCATACGGCACCGCGAAGACTACGGCGTTTGCGCCCTGGTAGACTGGCGCTGGACCGCCAGAGGATCGCTGAGGGCGGTGCGGTACCTGCCCCTCTGGCTGCGCCAGCTCGTCGGCATCCACGACGGCGTGCGCGGAGAGAACGCGGATTTTGCATTGGAGCATGTTGTGCGACAGGTGCGTGGGCATTTCGCGAACCATCTGCACCGAAGTTCTCAAGGCTACGCAGCAGGAGCAGACGCCCCAGGGGTGCTTTCGGGAGAGGACGCCTCCAGGCAGGTGCGGCCCCGCCGACACTAGCGTGGGGCTGCCACGCTAGGTACTGCCAACGTGGCGTCCCTTCCTGTGCAGAGCTTTCTCCAGCAGCTCTGGAGGAACAAGCAGTGCGATCAGCATATCCTTTCGGAGATGTGTGCGGACTTCTTGGGTCGGCCCGGGCCCCCCCTGTCCCACACTTTTGGGCGGCGGATCGGGCTTCGCCCATGGCGCGCTCCGCGCCCCTGGAAGGGAGTGACGGGAGGAGAAGCCAAGCGCTGACACAAGAAATCTGTTCGAATATTTGACAGTTTGTGTCTACGTAATCCGGGCGTGCTAAGTAGGAGCACGAATTGTCGGAGCACCATGCTTGGAGAGGCGCCACCGACGGGGTCGACGGGAGGCGCATAGACGCCCTGTCTGATTGATCGAAGACGCCTACGGCGAGTCACCGCCGCGCCCTGCCTGTCTGGGAAAAATATATTACCCATCGGTCGTTGAAAGTACATATTTTTGGATTCCCAGATTCCAATCTACTTTCAGCGCCTTCCTACTTCAAGAGTCGAGTGTTTTTCCTTCTTCCTTCCTCTTCAGGAGGCGTGCGGAAACCCAATCTATTTCCAACGCCTTCCTACTTCATGTTTCTACCTACTTCTTCCGACCGATGGGTATATGAATGAATACCGCCCCCCCCGGCCCTGGGTCCCACACCGCCCCGGAACATCTCGGGAACGCTGCCAGTACCGCTCCCCCGGCCTTTCTGGGGAGCCTCCACAGCGCCCCAGGAGGGCCCAAGACGCCGCCCAGGAGCCCCCAGAATGCGAAAGGATGGCCCAAGACGTTCCCAAGCAGCCCAAGTCAGCCTTCCGGCGGCTCTCGAGGCTTCCAGGTGGCCTCCAAGAGACCCCAAGAGAGAGGTCCGAGAGGCGTCCCGGCACGGCCCGAAGAGGCCAAAATCGTAGATTTTCATTTGTGTTTACCATATGTCTCGCTTCTCGCGTTTTCGAGCTTCCAACGCTCCAAGAACGCCGAAGAGCCGCCCAAGACCGCCCCAAGAACACCCAAGAGACCCTCAGGACGGCCCCAAGACGGGCCAAGAAGGCTCCAAGATTGCCGAAGAGACGCCCAGGACAGCCCCATACCACCCCAGAATAGGCCCAAGATGGGCCCAAGAGCGGGAGCAGGAGGCTCCCAGAGACCTCCGAGAGGCCTCCGGGACCCCCAGAGGCCCCCAACACACCCTCGATCCTTGAGAGGCCCCAAAAAGACTCGGACGAGGCTCCAAGAGCAGCCCAAGAGAGCTGCGAGAGCCGTTCTGAGCGAGCCCGAAGAGAGACAATCGTGGATTCCCATGGTTTTTCTAATGTTCTTCGCCTTCTCACGTTTTCCCGCTTCCAACCCTGGAAGATCGAGGATTCTGAAGAAGAACAGAACAAATCTTGTTTTTTTCAGAGTGGACTCCTACTCGGAGATCCCACACATCCCCTGACATCTGGTCGGCACCGCGCCTCCCGGCTTCCCGGGGGGCCCCCAAGACGCCCAAGGACAGCCCAAGGCGACCCCAAGGAGCCCCCAGAACGTAGAGAACGGCCCAAGACGCTCCCGCGCAGCCCGAGACACCCTTCCGACGGCTCTCCAGGCCTCCAGAAGGCCTCCAGAACCCCCAGGGGTTCCGGAAGATCCCACACCCCTGAGGGGCCCGGCTAACAAAACCCGCGAGGCACAAACAAAAACAGCGCCGAACAGCGCCGAGGAACTGGAAAAAAAAAGGAAATCCCACAATTCTTTTTTCCCAAGTTTGGCCCCCGGTCTACTCTTGCACAACAGACCACAATTCAGACCCCCCTCACCTCCCCCCAAAAAACACAGGAGGCCTTTGAGGGCCCCAAATCGTGGAATACATGAAGGGAATTAATGATTTCTGTATTTCTGCATTTCCCCTTCTATGCGATTCCGAGGCTTGCGCAGGGCCTCCAAGGGAGTCCCTGGACGCAAGAAGCGACCAAAATGATATTACATGAGTTGGTCTATCATGCCTTGCTAGAACGTGAGCGCGCGCGAAGCGCGCGCGATGGTTCTAGTACATATTGATGTGGCCTAACGCTGGGCAAAAGCTTGGCCAAGCAATTCGACGATGCGTTTCCCAAGCCGTGGAGGAGGAGGAGGAGGAGGAGGAGGAGGAGGAGGAGTAGGAGGAGGAGGAGGAGGACAGGAAGCATTACCACCCAAAGGATTACCCAAGGCCGACCCTGTTGGGAAGGAGAACAAGAAGGGGAAGTCCGAGGAGGAGCAGCGGGCCTCTTGGAGGCCCTCTTGGAGCCTCCTGGGAGCCTTTTGGGGGGCTGTCGTTGGCATCTTGGGGCCATATGAGGCCGTCCTGGATGTGATCACTTTCACATATTATGGATATATATATATATATATATACATATATATATATATGTATGTGTATATACATATATTGTATGTATGTATGTGTGCGTGTGCTTTCCAGCGTGTGCCCCAAACAGTGACGAGAATAATGCGAAGAAGGCGAGAAAAGCACCCAGTGCCTGAGGCACTGTGACGGATTGGTCAGTACCATCTTTGTTTCACCACCTATTTGCGGCACGTGCTTCTCCACCTCAGTTCGGGGCAGCGCCGGCGCCCGCAAAAGGAAGCAGTGTATTGATTCCGCCGCCATCTCACCCCCATCAGCGCACCCCTCCAACTCCTCCTCATCCCTCCTCCTTCCTTCTCCCCCACCCTCTCTACTCTCTGGGCGCTGGCGATGAACCCACTCATCAAAGCGATGCAGTCCCACCTGGAACCGCACCCGCTGTCGCACCTTGGCGTGTGTGCCGACGACGGCGCTGGATGCGACCTTCACGATCGACGCTTGCTCGTCGGCCGTGGGACTACAGTCAAAGCAGCTGAGGTAATCGCAGACCTTTGTCTCAGAGTTCACATGCGCGTCGCCATCCCCCTTCAAGATTGCGTATTTACTCCTATTCTTTCTCCTCCTCTGAGGAGATGTCGCTCCTCCCCGTAATTACATGAGCTGTATCCCTTCGGATGGTGAGCCCCCACTTGTTGTTTCGTACAGCGGGCGTGTCGCCCTTCCACCTTGGACAGGTCCCCAGGTGCAGTCATATCCCCTCATATTCTTTCCTCCTTCAGGAGAGGCTATATCAGTGCGTGCACGGGAAGGTTGTGAGCGAAATGACTTGATGAGACAGGTCAGAAACGAACCAATTTAAATGGGGGACCCCTGGACTCCATAGCCTTTCTTCGGTTCGAGATGGCCCAGGCCCCTGCGGGCCACTGGGCTGTCCTCGCGCTGGGGCTCTCCCACATCTCCTCGCTTTTCTCGCCCGCGGAACCGCGCCCATCGGCAGGACGGCCGCCCTGCGTGCTGGAGGTTGTGTGCCTGCCCGCGTGGCTGCCGACTGGGAACAGCGGAGACGCTCGTCATCCTGGTCCCGAGGCGCCGCCTCGCGTGGCGTCTCCCGCCGTCTGCCCGGTCCCCGAGCTGACCCAGGCTCAGGCGGAGCCTGAGGCGGATTCGCTCGGCGCCCTCGCGGCGGCGGTCCCTGGCGTGCTGGTGGCGCGCAGCTGGAGGCGTGCCGCGCCTTGCGAGGCTGCTGTGGCCGAATGCCCCAGGCTGCGGAGGCCTCGATCGGGGGGCGTGATGGCGCTACCCCCGCGAGACGTGCGGCTGGAGGGGTGGAAGGAGCTCCTGCCGGGCCAGCGGCTCAGCGTAGGATATAGTGACGATCCGGTGAAGCAGGAGGGCGTGCTCCTCCACCCGAGCTGGCCGCCAGGCGCCCGGGCCGCGTTGACGTCTGACGCCGCCGAGTACGAGGAGGACGACACCGACGTGAGCCCGCAGGCGTGGCCCGTGGGCGCGGCCCAGATGCCAGCAGGAGGAGGCGCGCTCGAGGGCTGGCCGCGGACGTCCCGCCGCTGTCGGGCGGCCCTCTCGGAGGAGGAGCTCGGGGCGGCGATCGTGCACAGCCGCGTGCTGGTGGAGGAGCGTCTGCCGGGCCTCGCGCCCGGGCCGCCTGCTAAGGTAGCGGGCCCGGGCGCCAGGCGGGCGGAGGGGGCGGACTTCTTCGGCGAGGCGAGGCGATTAGCGCTGGGGGTCGAGTACGACGCGCAGGGGGAGATTTGCGAGCCCATCAGGACCGCCTGCCGAGAGAGTTCGCAAGAGGCTTTCCCTGCCCGGCCCAGCGAGGGGCCTGTGTCGGCCTTGACGGTATGCAGGAACATGGAGCGCACGAACAGCGACCCCAGGTCCTGGCGGGGGGACTTCCTGAGGCCCAGAGGCGTCGGCGACAGTGACAGAGTGACGCATGAGATGCACTTTCTCTGCGACATCCTCCTCTGGGCCGTGGTTTGCACCCAGATGGATCTAGGCGACTCGATGTGCCTGGAGACGGCGGCCAGGAGGATCACGGAGCTGGTGGAGGTGTACTTCGATCCAGCCAAGCCTGTGTGGGACGGCTCCCGCCTGTACCCTGGCGCTGTGTCCTCGGATGACAGCGCGGATCAGACCTTGCTGCAGTTCGCCACCAGGAGGATCAGGGAGCAGCGGGAGGCCCAGGCGGAGCCCTCGTATGACAAGGGCCCGCAGCGCACTGAGGGCGACGGCACCACCGACGGCGGCGGCAGGGATCGGCAGAGGCGCCCGCCATCGAAGGACGCGAAGAGAGGCGTGGGGGGGGCTGGCGCCCCCCCCAAGGGGCAATGACGGCCCTTGCGGCCGGGGGGAACCCCGTCCCCGGCCGTGACTCAGGGGTGGCGCGGGGTCGGCTTGCCGCCTCGCGCAGTGCCAGGGAGCTGTTTCCGCTGCCGCGCTGGCGCCTGCCTGAGCTGCATGTGGCCGGCTCCGTTCGGAGCAGAGCCCTGCGGCGGCGTGAGAGGCTGGTGTTCAAGATGGGTAACGAGGCGGTGGACGCTCGGAACTGGCTTGCTGGTTGTCGGGGCGGACCGGCCTACTTCGATCCCGACCCGATGCAGTTTGAAGTTTTGGAGCGGATCTGCGAATTAGCCTCACGGCGGTACCCAGGTCCCGATGCTCTCAGTGAACGCGCGGCCGTCCGCCGGCTGCTGCGCGGGCATACACCGTACGATGGGACGGGATGCCTCACCCGTGTCGCGCCTTTCAGAAAGGGCCTCGTTTCGTTACCCGAGACAGTGGAGGGCTGCCCGCCGTTTGAGGACGTGGCCCCTCCAGAGGCCCAGAGATTCCTGAAGGGGCATCCCGAGCGCATGCTGCGCGCTGACAGTCCCTCTTCTACTGCGGCACCTTACTTTGACCCCGCGCTGAAGCGCAGCGTGAAGACCTACAGGCAGTTCATCAGCGACCTACGCCGACGCGGATTGGTCGGCTGGACCATGCGCCCGCGCTGCCAGGTCGGCCCTTTCTTTGTTGAGAAGGACGGAGGTCAGCGGCTCAGGCTCATCCTTGACGCCAGGCCCGCGATCCTTCTTTTCGAGCCGCCGCCGGGCGTCAGCCTCCTGAGCGCGGAGGGCCTCAGCCGAGTCGAGATCGCCCTGCCGGATGGCCTGGACCCCTGGAGCGAGGAGGCGGAGCGGCTACTCAGCAGCTCAGCTACTCTCTGCATGTGGGCCTGGCCGATGTGAAGGGTTGCTTCCACAGGTTGCGACTTCCTGGATGGCTCTCCGAGTACTTCTGCCTACCCGTCGTGCCAGCGTACTTGCTGGGCGTGGAGGGCGAGATCTGGGAAGGCAGGACTCTGGGGAGGCACGATCTGGTGAGTCCGTGCTGGGCCGTCTTTCCGATGGGTTTCACGTGGAGCTTGCGGGCTGCCCAGCGGATCAACGAGTGCCAGGCGAGTTCCCTCTGCCCGCAGCTGCGCGAGAGCCCCCTTTCTGACCGTGGCAGGCCCCCCGTCTTCGGCCCCAGCGTCCCCAAGGGCCACGTCTCGCACTACGTGTACGCCGACAACCTGGGGGTGGCCTCCACCGACCAGCCCATCGTCACCGATGCGATCGCACAGCTGGTTGAGGGCTTCGACCAGCGCGGGCTCCTCCTCCACGGCAGCTCCGCGGGCACCGAGGTCGAGACGCTGGGCGCAGGTTTCGGGGGCCCTCTGGAGGACGAGAGTGACGCAGAAGCGGTTCTGGCTCATTCGACAGGCCCTGAACGGCCTCCTGCGACGCCGCCGCCTCACAGGCTGGGCGGTCGAGGTCCTGGTGGGCCACTGCACGTTTGCGGGATTGCTGAGCAGGGGTACGTTGAGCGTATTCCACACGGTCTACGCCTTCATGCGGAAGTCATACGCCGAGCCCAGTGTGCTGTGGCACGAGGCCCGCCAGGAGCTCGAGACGTTCCGAGGCCTCCTTGTCTTCTTGGAGAGCGATTGGACGCTGCAGTGGAACGATCTGGCGGCGGCGACCGACAGCAGCTTGGAGGCAGGAGCTGTCGCGACCACCCGATGGCCTCGTTCGCTGGTGGCCGAAGTGGGCCGCGTGCAGGAGCGCGCCCACTTTCGGGGGCCCGCGGCGGCCGAGACCGACGGCGCTGCCGGGGCCGCTCCTGCTGCCCGCCGCGGCGCGCGAGAGGCGGCGCTGGAGGCGGCGGGCTTCTGGCGCGACGCCGATGGCGAGTGGCGGCTGGCCGAGGGCGTGATCGACGACGACGAGCAGGCCGCTGCGTGGGAGGCGGACCCCTCCTTCCCGGAGGTGCCCGCCGCGGGCCTGGCGAGCAGCCGCTGGCGCACCAAGCAGGTGCAGCGCTGGCGATTCGAGGAGGGCATCCTTATTAAGGAGGCCCGAGCACTGGCGATGGGCGTTCGACGCGTTGCCCAGTCTGTGTTCGGCGCCGCCTGCCGCCAGCTGATTCTGTCTGACAACATGTCAGTTGTACTGTCTTTTAACAGGAGTCGTGCTAAAGAGTTTGCTCTCCTCGTCCAGGTCCGCAGGTTGCAAGCCTACTGTCTCGCAAGGAATCTGAAGGTGTCTGCGAGGTGGGTTCCCTCTGAGTTGAACCCCGCCGATTATGGGTCTCGCGTTTTTGATAAGAAAGGGGCTAAGGAGTCTCTTGGTGCACTTCTTCCTGATACACTTTTTTCAGAGGAGTCCAGATCTAAAGGTCCCCCTGAGGTTCGCGCTCCCTTCCATTTCCACCCGTCCGAGAATTCTGTGCAGCACCCGTTGCAGTGTTCCCCTCAGAGAGCTCTGTCTGTTCTGCCCCTAGTGCCCGAGGAATCTGACTGGTCCCTTGATGCCCGTGTTTGCTCTGAACCTGTGTACTCAAGGTGCGGCCTGACTTCCTCGTATCCCGTTTCGGCTCAAACCTGTTTGCAGGCACACCCCCTCGACGGGCCTTCGCCCTCGCATGCTGCGCCGAGGACGGCTGCGGGAGACCCCGCCGCCTCCGCCCGGGACTCCAGCGCGGCGGCCGCGCCTGCGGGTGAGGGCTGCGTCGGCCGAGCCTGCCGCGCCGATCTCCCGACAGTTCGCGGCGCGAGAGTCGGGCAGCAGGGCCCCCCAAGGGCCGCAGCTCTTGCCGAAGCTCACCGCGGCCCGGCGGGCGCAGGACTGGAGGGCCAGGCTGAGCTTGGCCGAGCTGCCGTCAGCGCCCAAACTGCCCAGGCGCGAGCGGGACCTCCAAGCCCTCCCCCAGGACTGGTCGCACCCGATCGTGGCCAGCAGCGTCGACGGCGGCAGCACCTCCGACGATCAGCAGGTCGAGCCAGCCAGCGAGAGGCGCGAGGGGGAGCCGCTGAAAGAGGCAGCTCGGGGGCGGGCCTTGACCATGGCCCCAGGGATGGGCGAGGCGATGGCCGGGCACGTGAACCATCTGTCCTTCGAGGGCCCCGAGAACGCCAAGGGCTGTCAGGAGAGGGCAGGCCTCATGCACGGGTTCGGGGAGTTCTTGAGGCAGGACAAAGCCATGACACCTCGGGCGTGGAAGGGCCTCCAGGGACGGCGCAGGCTGGCGCCCCGGCGGGGCCGCCGCGCAAGGCCGTTGGCCCTCAGGTGCGGGCTCGCCTGGCGCATGGGGGTGCAGAATGCGCTGCCGATGGCGGTGCTCCTGCTCGCGATGGTCTCCGGCTACTTCTGGCCCAGTCGTCGGCTGAAGTTGGCGAGAGGCAACATCATCGCTTCTGCGATGGGAGAGTGCCGTCGGTGGTCGCTGCTGCTGTTGCTGGACAACAGGCCCCAGAGAAGCGAGACGAGGCTCTCGGGCGTGGGGGTGATGCTGGACAACGGACGCATTCGGTGTGCCATGCTTATCTTCCGAGAGCTCGCCCGAGGGGATCACGAAGAAGAGGGGCGGGCGTTCAGTTACTTTCAGTTTCGGGCAGCGCTGAAGGAGGAGGCGATCGACCCGCAGATCCGAGAGCACATTGTCCCTTGTCCAGCCAGACGCTCAGGACCCAGTATGGGCAACGCTCGACGGTACCGAACGATCGCAGAGATGCAAGAGAGAGGACAGTGGAGGCATGCCATGTCGATGCAACGTTACGTGAGGACGGCGAAGCCGGGTCAAAGCAGACCTCTCACGCCGTCCCGGCCGCCAGGTATTTTGACACAGTGCGAGTTACATCTAGAGGACATACTGCTCGGAAAAATTGCCGAGACAATTATCCTGTGAGGCGGCGCGGCCGCCAGCGTAAGTACATTCTTGATTTGTTCTCGGGTTCGAACTCGATAGGTAAGGCTGCTCTAAGGCGGGGCTTCAACTACCATGGTTTTGACGGCCTCAATGGGCCCAACGAGGACCTCGCTAGACCTGTCGTGCTTGCGCGTGTTAGGGCCGCTATATCTAGGCATGAGGTGATAGCCGCTTCTCTTGGGCCTCCTTGTGCGTCTTGGGGAACAGCGGCCGATCGGGGGCGTCAGCCGGGCCGCTTAAAGAATTTGCCCTGGGGCCTGCCCGACGCCTCTGAATACACAGCTAGGAGAGCTTTACAGGGAAACGCCACCTTTCGTGCAGCGCTAAAATTAATGCAGGCGCTTGCCCGATCGCAGGTCCCCTTTGTTTTCGAGCATCCGATCAATAGTAGAGCCTGGCACACGCCTGAACTAAAGTCTTTTACCGAGCGATATTGCATGCATTCTCGTGTGTGTGATCAGTGCCAATTCGGGGCCCGCTGGAGAAAGCGCACACGTTTTTTGTTTTTCGGAGTGGACCCCCAGGACACTTTGAAAGTCCAAAGACGGTGCCACAGTGATGGCGGGGTTTGCTCGGCTTCAGGGAAGCCCCACATCATCCTGGAAGGCAAGGCCCCCTCTGGGGCCACGTGGACGTCTCTAGCAGCTTCGTATCCTCCGAAGCTGGCTGACTGCATTGTTAACTGTTTACTCTGCCGCCAGAGGGGCCAAGAGGCGGCATCCTTCCTTCAACCCGCCTCGCCCTCCCAGGGAACCCTTTGGGACTTTGGGCTGTCAATTGCGTCCCAGCTCCGCCAAGACGAGTGGCACGTGGTAGCAAAAACGTTCCCCACCGAATGTAGCAGTTAACCTGTCAGTGCGTGCACGGGAAGGTTGTGAGCGAAATGACTTGATGAGACAGGTCAGAAACGAACCAATTTAAATGGGGGACCCCTGGACTCCATAGCCTTTCTTCGGTTCCCGCCCCCCCTTGTCTCCCTCTGTGCTCTGTCGCCAGGCTGTCAATTGCGTCCCAGCTCCGCCAAGACGAGTGGCACCTTGTAGCAAAAACGTTCCCCACCGAATGTAGCAGTTAACCTATCCATACGGAGTAAATCTATACGGCATGCTCGGACTCCGTCTGGCCTTACTCCGTCTGGATGTAGCCTATCCTGGCCGGATGCTAAGTCCACACGGGAACAAAGAAAAACATACGGCGGATTCGGTATCCATCTGGGCGCTGTCTGGACTTAGCCTTTCCTGAATCATCCTCCTCACCATCACCACCATCATCATCATGATCATCATCACCTGCATCATCATCATCAGCATCATCATCATCATCCTCATCTTCATCTTCATCTTCATCTGTATCTTCATCATCCCCCTCGTTCGCCGCGCACATTCGTTTCTAATTGTTCGCAAGAGTTTCATTGATTTCCACGGCTAACGTACCAGGATATGGCGGGTTGGACCAACTCCGGATCGCCATGGCGCAACAGTTACGTTGATTCGTTGTGTTGAAGCCCCAGGAATGGCATGCTGGCACGATTCAGGACCGTCAAGACGCAACAGTCAGTTGATTCGTAGCGTTGAAGTTCCGACAGTGGTGTTTTGGCACGCTTCAGGATCTTCAAGCGCTTGTCTCCCAACGGGGCACTTCCCTCAGTGAAAGCGAATCCTTGTATGGGGGCCAAACAAGAGCGAGCTCGGAGGAAATGTTTATTCCAGCAGCGTTGATACGTCTTGGGTTTACACTCCTCCTCCTCCTCCTCTTCCTCCTCCCTCCTCCTTCTCCTCCTCCTCCTCTTCTCACTCCTCCTCCTCCTCCTCCTCCTCCTCCTCCTCTTCCTCCTCCTCCTCCTCCTCCTCCTCCTCCCCTCCTCCTCCTCCTCCTCCTCCTCCCTCCTCCTCCTCCTCCTCCTCCTCCTCCTCCTCCTCCTCCTCTCCTCCTCCTCCTCCTCCTCCTCCTCCTCCCCTCCTCCTCCTCCTCCTCCCCTCCTCCTCCTCCTCCTTCCTCCTCCCTCCTCCTCCTCCTCCCTCCTCCTCCTCCTCCTCCTCCTCCTCCTCCTCCTCCTCCTCCTCCCTCCTCCTCCTCCTCTCCTCCTCCTCCTCTCCTCTCCTCCTCCTCCTCCTCCTCCTCCTCCTCCTCCTCCTCTTCCTCCTCCTCCCCTCCTCCTCCTCCTCCTCCTCCTCCTCCTCCTCCTCCTCCTCCTCCTCACCTCCTCCTCCTTTTCCTCCTCCCCCTCCTCCTCCTCCTCCTCCTCCTCCTCCTCCTCCTCCTCCTCCTCCTCCTCCTCCTCCTCCTCCTCCTCCTCCTTTCCCCCCTCCTCCTGCCCCCCAGCCCGCTCGGGTGCCCAGGAGGGCACGCCCAGCCCCGGCCTGCGGGAGCCCCCCCCGCCGAATGCGGCGCCCCACATGGCGGGAGCGGGGCGGCCGCCACGAGCCTGGGGCCCGGGGCGCCTCGCGGCGGCGTCGCTACTGCGGCTCGGACCTCGGGGCGGCGCCAGGGGGGCGGAGGGGGGGGGGGGGCGGCGGTCTCGAGGTCCGAGGGCTTCGGACGTCTGCGTCGCTTCGCGGCGGCTTGCCAGCCTCGGGGTGCGGATCGTCGCGGCCGCGCCCGGCCAAGAGCGTGCTGCAGGCTGCCCAGCTCGTCCCGAGCGGCGGCCGGAGGTCCGAGCGATGGCCCGAACGGGGAGCCTTGCGACGGGGAGGTCCGTGCAGACGGGGGTCGGCCAGAGCGCTGGGTCCAGCAGGATCCTGCAGGGCCAGGGCTGCCTTGGCCCGGGCGGGCGCGCAGGGAGACCTGCAGGACACCCTGCAGGATCTCGCAGGATCCTGCAAACCTCGACTGACCCGGGCTTGGATTGACCCAGATCGTCCGTGGATCCCCGACCGAAAAACACCAGGGGATCGGCTCCGAGGGGCCGGCGCCGCTCGTGGCTTTCGGCGCGCCCTCGCGGCGCGAGGTCTTCGGATGCGCGTCTGTGGCTCCTGGGGCCGTCCGCGCGGCGGGGTGCTTTTTCCTGCAGCGGCGCCCCGCCGGGGGCGTTCGGGGGGCCGAGTTAGGACCCGAAGGCCAGGCAGTCTTCGCGTCGTGCCAAGAGTCACAGCGGAGGGGGGCGGGGGGGGGGGAGGAGGAGGAGAGGAGGAGGAGGAGGAGGAGGAGGATGAGGAGGAGGAGGAGGAGGAGGAGGAGGAGGAGGAGGAGGAGGAGGAGGACAGGAGGAGGAACAGGAGGAGGAACAGGAGGAGGAACAGGAGGAGGAGGAGGATAATGGAGACGAGGAGTAGGAGGACGAGGACGCGGATGAGGACGAGGACGAGCCGCCCAGGAGCTCTCTCCCGGCCGCGGGGCCGGGAGCAAAGACGGTCCAGGATACGGAGCCAGACCTGGGGAGCAGTCGGCCACGCGCAAGGGTGCCCTCTGGTGCGGGCACAGCGGGTCCCCCGATCGTTGAGCATGACGCGGCAGCACAGGCGTGCCCGTTGGGGGGTGGCCCCCCTCAAGCTGCGCACCAGAGGTCGCTCATGCCCTGGGCGGAATTTGGCAGAACTGAATATCTGCCTGAGACGCAATACAGTGGAGACCCATGCCAAGAAACACCCTGCTTGCCTCCAGGGTGCCATGGGTTTCTTGGGTTTCGATGTATTGGCTATGGAAAGCGTGACGTTCCCACACCAAAAATCAATGGATGTCCTGGGGCCTCAGGGTTGGGTCTCTTGTGGTAGGTTTCTCGTGGTCGAGCCCCTGCTGTACGTGTTGGGCTCAGGCTGGGGGCGAGCCGCAGATCCACCGCCCCGGGAGCCGGTCGTCCCAGGGCCCCAGGAGGCGGCGGATGTGGACATGCTCGCTCTTTCGGGGGGGGGGGGGGGGGGCCCACCTGGGCCGCTGGGGGGCGAGGATCAGAGGAGGGAAAGGTACCCATACATCTAATTACCCTTCCCTGGTTTTCCCCCTTTTTGGGCCTCCTGGGCGGCCCTCGTCGCCATCGCTGGATTCGCCTCGAAACCCTGGTCAGAACGCACCCCGGGAGAGATCTGGGGAGCAGCGGTATCGGTAATGACCTTTTGATGGCGCATGTTTGGCAAGATTCAGCGCAGTCCATCGCAGCCTGGCAAACGGCCGTCACGCGGCATTGCGAAGCCCTCTGAGGTTGTTTCTTGTTCAACAACAACAACAACAACAACAACAACAACAACAACAACAACAACAACAACAACAGCAACAGCAACAGCAACAACCAACAACCAACAACCAACAACCAACAACCAACAACCAACAACCAACAACCAACAACCAACAACCAACAACCAACAACGACAACGACAACGACAACAACAACAACAACAACAACAACAACAACAACAGCAGCAGCAGCAGCAGCAGCAGCAACAGCAACAGCAACAGCAATCACAACAGCAGCAGCAACAACAACATCAACAACAACAGCAGCAGCAACAGCAACAAACCCTCTGAGGTTGTTTCTCGTGTGCTCCTGGGCGTTGTTACACTCGGCTTCTCTCTCTCTCTCTCTCTCTCTCCTGGGTCGCCCTCGCTCACGCAGACCAAGGATCAGGAGGGAAAAAACACAGACACCATGAATCGTCGATC